CGTTTCAGGCGGTCGCGCACCGGACGAGAAGCGCAGCGTCGCGCCACGTCTTTAAAATTCAAATACATTATTTTCTGTCCACGGCGCCTAGCTACGTCGTGTTGTACTTGTAAGAATTGTTCTAGGCCAGCGGTTCTCAATTCCAGTCCTCGCGTACCCCCGCTCTGCATGTTTTGCACGTCTCTCTTTGTTAACACACCTGATTCAGATCATCTCATTAGAAGTAAGCTCCGTGCATGAACTGTGTTCTGACATGTATATCACATAACATATTAGGGCTGTGCAATTTGGGGAAAATATCTAATTGCGATTTTTTTGGACAGATATTGCGATTTGATTTGCGATTTTAATTTTGCAAAGTCAAGCTTCAGCTTAATATTGTCAATAGTGTGCAGCACAGTATGGGTATCAGTACCCTGCTGAAAAAAAGCAAAAAAAATAATAGAAACCATCACAGAAATTCTTATGGTTTCCATTAAAACAATTACAAAATTCCTTTTTGTAGTGTGTTTTGGGCATTATTTCAATAGGAATTACTGTTCTATTGTTTCCCATCTGCCAGTTTACATCCCACCAATAGAATCCATCAAATACCAGTAGACACCATTATAGTTTACATTAAAACCAATATAATTCCCATTATAACCCTTAAATACATAAAATTTTCTATTGTGTTTTGGGAGGGGTTCTATTGTTTTTTTTTTCAACAGGGAATATTACTTTTACAGAATTTACTTAATTACTGAATTTCACAGGAATAGGATGATTTATTCGTTTTTAAGTATTTGGGATTTTAAGAACAAGTGGAAAATGTGCTGAATGTTTCATTTCTTCCAAGTGAAATTAGCAAAGCAGTTAAACTGAATTTACATTTGTGTTAAATACGGAGACAGCCTTTAAAAGAAATCTCTTATGCTCATCACGGCTTAATTTATTGGATCAAATTACAGTAAAACAGTAACACTGTGAAAATTATAATTCAAAACAACTCTTTTCTATGTGAATATTGTTAAAATGTAATTTATTCCTGTGATCAAATCTGTATTGTCAGCATCATTACTCCAGTCTTCAGTGTCACATGATCCTTCAGAAATCATTCTAATATGCTGATTTGCTGCTCAAGAAACATTTCTTATTATGATCAATGTTAAAAATGGTTGGACTACTTAATATTTTTGTGGAATTGTGGAAAAACAGAAATTCATAGAAAATCTTATGTAACATTATAAATGTCTTTACTGTCACTTTTGATCAATTAAATGCATCTTTATTGAAGTATTAATTAAAAAAAAACAAAAACAAAAAAAACATTGACCTCAAACTTTTGAAATGTTGATTCAGTGATGTTAAATAATATTTCTGACATAAACTCATTCAGATGTTACCACATGAACTTGTTAATCTAATGAATAACTGATTTGTTAAATCAAATGAAAAATTGTGTTTTTGATTGGTCCAGACGCTACACAATATTACTCTTTTTACTTATTTTTAATCAAATAATTACTGCAGATGTGAGCAGAAGAGAATTCTTTCCAAAACATTACAAATTTTATCAACTTCAAACTTTGAACACTAGTGTATGTTTGAGATTTGACTTACTAGTCTTATGGTTAATAGCATCTTGGAGATGTTGTTTGACAGGAGGCTCGCTCCAACTCTGCTGGGGTGCAGCAGGCCGTCAGCATTGAAGAATCTAGGAACAAAACAAGCAATTTGACACAGAGCCAACAATATTTAGTATGCAGTTCCAGGTTTATTAGAAGGAAACAAGCTAGAGCAGAGGTACAATGCAGATAAAAGAAAGAATAATCTTATAATATAATAACATAATATACAAAAAATACACCTACTACTACTACTACTAATAATAATAATCTTAAGATAACAGAATCTATGTTTTTAGATTTAGGTCGAGTGTCACTTACATTTTGATGTCAAGGCCTTCTTAAAATTATATATACATATATATATATATATATATATATATATATATATATATTGAGCTTTTTCAGCGTTTCCTACATCTCTGTCAGCAGCTCCCTTCAGAAATGTTGAAATCTTGGACATTCCCTTCTGTTGTAGAAGGGATCTTTGGTCACTCTTGAAATCACAGAACAGTTTTATCAATATTTGTTTACCATAAAAGATCAAAACAACTTTAGATTCGTTTTCAGCCAATCTTCGCACTCCTTGATAACGTTATGTCACCGGTAAACAGCAAAGTGTATAGGTTTAGGTTAAATAAATTAAGCAATTTCCAATCATCCATTGAAAACTTACCAACAAAACGGTCAAAAGCTCTCATCTAGACATCAAGATTTGATTAAAAGCCCAAACTTTCATAAATAAGAGCACAATATAGAGTTAGCATACGTTACCTAACGATACGTCGTCTGAAAACGGTAGAGATGCTAACGGACTTTTTCGAAGACATTAAACCATTTCTATAAAGTAAATAAACAACAGAAGCGAGTCAAATACAAGTAAGAGAAGTGTCAACAACAGTTAGATGTAATGTGTTGCGCCCCGTTTCCATGGCAACTCCCTCCGCTCCAGTGTCTTTGAAAGCGACTCCAGCGCACGCCCATTAAAACACGTCACAGTCACGCAGCATTCACATAAACAAACCTCTTAAAATCACATCCAATCTTTATTATTTTAGGGACTAAACTCACCTGAAAGCAGTGAAAACAGCAGCAAGAGACGGGGTGTTTCCTTGTGACGTGCAGCGTTGCGCCCCGTTTCCATGGCAACTCCTTCCGCTCTACACGCACGCCCATTAAAGCACGTCACACATTAAAAGTCACGCGTTTACGTTACATAAATAAACATATGAATAAACATATCCCCCTTATTTGTCCTGTAAGAGTGGGCGTGGCCATTTGTAAATTTAATGTGTCTGGCTTCCGGTGTCATTCCAGCTAAATTAGCTGTACCAACCGCTTGTTTTGCTGTTTGCTATTGCAAACTGGTGTATCTTACCATGTTATTTTAATGTATTGTCTTAATTATGAACGTACTGGTTTGTAGTGCAAACAGTTTTACCGTTTACTGCACTTTGTTCTTCTCGTTATTTCTCTATAACCATAATCACAAGTCTCACACATTCACATACAATTGCTTGGTGGATAGAATTAGATCACTACATAAACAATTCAAAATGTCATTAGATTATGACTTTGCATTTAAAATTCATGTTGTAGTTCAATGGCCCAGTGCAAAATGCCAAGCCTGCACGTGATAGTGGGACAAAGTGGCACTTTTATAGTTTAAGATTTTTTACGAACACTCATGTGCATGTCAAAAAATTAGAATATCGTGACAAAGTTCATTTTTTTTGTAACTTATTTAAAAAAGTGACATTTTCATATATTCTAGATTCATTACATGTAGAGTAAAACATTTCAAAAGTTTTTTTGTTTTAATTTTGATGATTAGAGCTTAATTTAATTAATGTATGTCTGGCTTCCGGTGTCATTCCAGCTATATTAGCTTGTTTTGCTGTTTGCTATTGCAAACTGGTGTATCTTACCATGTTATTTTAATGTATTGTCTTAATTATGAACGTACTGGTTTGTAGTGCAAACAGTTTTACCATTTACTGCACTTTGTTCTTCTCGTTATTTCTCTATAACCATAATCACAAGTCTCACACATTCACATACAATTGCTTGGTGGATAGAATTAGATCACTACATAAACAATTCAAAATGTCATTAGATTATGACTTTGCATTTAAAATTCATGTTGTAGTTCAATGGCCCAGTGCAAAATGCCAAGCCTGCACGTGATAGTGGGACAAAGTGGCACTTTTATAGTTTAAGATTTTTTACGACACTCATGTGCATCTCAAAAAATTAGAATATCATGAAAAAGTTCATTTTTTTTGTAACTCATTTCAAAAAGTGACATTTTCATATATTCTAGATTCATTACATGTACAGTAAAACATTTCAAAAGTTTTTTTGTTTTAATTTTGATGATTAGAGCTTAATTTAATTAATGTAATTATTGCATTTAAGAACACTGAAAATTATCAAAAAAGAATAAAAAGGAGTTTAAAAAATATTATTAAATTATTTAAAATGCTTTTTAAAGAGACCTTGTCCTCTGGTGTGACATCTTTGTCCTGTGGTGTGACAGTATAGGCGTCACACCGGAGGACATTTTCTGTCACACCAAAGGATGTTTCAGCCTTTTGTGTCAATTAATGACCTTGCTATTCCAAGCTAACCTGTTATTAGCGGTAAGCAAGACACATTTGCATAATTTTCTATGATTATGTAGTTTAACATGCACTTTTTAATAAAAAAATATAATTTAGGGGTGTCACATTAATGGACAACAAAACGTAAAACATTTATAGTGGTTCCAAAAAAATTTAATATTTGAACAATTCTGAGACAACAATTTACCATGTGCACGTCATGGGCTTGACGGGGCTTCAGTAACACGACCATGAATGGGGTCCTTCAACTAATTAAAGTTTTCTCTGGAATTGGCCAATTTAAAATCAGGATATGGTGTCACACCAGAGGACATGGTTTTCAGATACAAAATGTGTAAAGTTCCTACGTTTTCAGAAATGTATGGATGAAAAAAAAATGATTGCCATTTACTAAAATAGTAAATTATGCCAGAGGTATTTATTAACATTTTTATGCTTTTATTTTTCATTTATAAAAGTTGTCATTTATTATAGGCGTCACACCGGAGGACATTCTCTGTCACACCAAAGGACGTTTCAGCCTTTTGTGTCAATTAATGACCTTGCTATTCCAAGCTAACCTGTTATTAGCGGTAAGCAAGACACATTTGCATAATTTTCTATGATTATGTAGTTTAACATGCACTTTTTAATAAAAAAATATAATTTAGGGGTGTCACATTAATGGACAACAAAACGTAAAACATTAGTGGTTCCAAAAAAATGTAATATTTTAACAATTCTGAGACAACAATTTACCATGTGCACGTCATGGGCTTGACGGGGCTTCAGTAACACGACCATGAATGGGGTCCTTCAACTAATTAAAGTTTTCTCTGGAATTGGCCAATTTAAAATCAGGATATGGTGTCACACCAGAGGACATGGTTTTCAGATACAAAATGTGTAAAGTTCCTACGTTTTCAGAAATGTATGGATGAAAAAAAAATGATTGCCATTTACTAAAATAGTAAATTATGCCAGAGGTATTTATTAACATTTTTATGCTTTTATTTTTCATTTATAAAAGTTGTCATTTATTGAACCATGCTTGAGACAGTCACACCACAGGACAATTTTGAGATTTGGCTCAAAAATTTAAAAAATCGAATAACACTGCAGCTTTATAAGAGGTCCGTGTAGGACAAAGAAATATATATATATATATTAAATAAAGATGTCCTGAAATATTATGGGGGTCCAGTACTCAAAAAAGTTTGAGAACCACTGGCTGGTAAAGTAAGGTGACCAGACCTGCCATTTTCCTGGGACACGTCCTGGCAGATTTCTAAATTGCCAAAAATAACCAGGTTTTGGCTGTATGCGCTGCACAGATCGATCGTTGTTTGACATCAAAGTGATTTGAAAGCATAAGGAGCCGTCTGCTCTGCTCTCCATAGCTCTCACGGTATTTAAATGTCATATAACGATCGATCTGCACAGTGCAAACAGCCAACACCTGGTTATTTTAGGCAATTTAGAAATCTGCCAGGAAGTGACCCTGGAAAATGGTCATCTGGTCACCTGGTATAGGCCATATCTGGCCCACACACAACAAGCCAGAACTCAACCTAAAACCGGCTTCTCACACATGGGCCACATCTGACCCGCAAGCAACAAGCCAGAACTCAACTTAAAACCGGTTTGTCACACATGGGCCAGATCTGGCCCACAAACAACAAGCCAGAACTCAACCTAAAACCGGTTTGTCACACATGGGCCAGATCTGGCCCACAAACAACAAGCCAGAACTCAACCTAAAACCGGTTTGTCACACATGGGCCAGATCTGGCCCACAAACAACAAGCCAGAACTCAACCTAAAACCGGTTTGTCACACATGGGCCAGATCTGGCCCACAAACAACAAGCCAGAACTCA